ACCTCTGATTTATAATTTTATACAACTTCTCAGTAGCAAAACTCAGCCACTCGCTCGAAGATTTTGCGTCAACGGTAAATCTGTGAAGTTAGTCATTTACATGACTAACCATAAATGAGAACGATAGCAAGAAGTAAGGTATTATATTGGCTTCCGACCGTTAGACGTTTAAATAATCGTTGGCAAGTTTTTGATTTATTTTCTATGGTTGATTAGTCAATTATTAATTAACTAGCTTTCGCTCACGACTTCGTCCATTTGGAATTAAAATAAAACAAATGTGCGTAGCCTATGTGTTCTTCCAGACTAACCCCTACAGTACATCTATACCAAATTTTATCCAAATCCGTTCAGCCGTTTAGGTTACAAACTCTAACAAACATCCTTCTAAACTCGCATTTATAACATTAGTAAAATTAGCTCAGTCGATAGAAGGGGCAAGAATACTTAGGCCTGTTACGTAGTTGCCTAAATCACGGAAGAAATCTCTAAATATCAAAGTTAACTAAAAAAAAGGCAATCATAAAAACAACAGCGTAACTTTCATATCAATGATTTGTTACTGAATTCACTGTATACAATAAATCATATGATATTTATTTTATTTACTTCGAAATTACCAAAGCGTTTCGAAATAACAAACATGAAATAAAACAAGCTCACACAGCCGTATTTTACCAGCTAAGCCAATAAATAAATTTGTGACATGAACATTCAAAACTCTGACCTCTTTTAGTCAATTTCTCTTGATTTAGACATTTGAAAAGAAGTTAACTACCGCCTGTAACACACAAACGGGAAAGCAAACAAGAATCGAAGCGAAGAAGAAAACAAAATACAGAGTTTAGACATAAGATTGGATTTTTTGTATCTATACCGTCGAACGAAATATATATATATATAATGAAACTTCGCTTCGCTTTTGATTCGCATTCGCGTCTGTGTGCTACAGCCGTAAATAATTACTTATTCCCTTAAATCTGTAACATCATTTATTACGGTGATAATAAACGTCAACCTACACAGGGTTTCTGACAAAGCATGTTTCATGTTTTAAACCAAAATTGGTTACAACCTTGGGTTTCCACTGTCGAATAACCTGTCTTTAGACTTGCTGTCGTCGCTCTCACTCTCTTAAAAATAACAGGGATACATGTTCAAAACTTTAACGTACAAACTACACACAATACTGGCAATATTTAAAAATTAACTTTCGTCGAGTTTACACGCGTACAAAGAAATTGATTTACGATTGTGTGATACTTTGTCTGTTTGTGTTCGCGGTTCACTTGGAACGTATCCAGTCAATAAATTATAATTTTGTAATTTTATTAACCACATCAAAACATCGCGATTTTTTGTACAATTTCATCTCAATTTTCATCTGATTGTTGTTTACAATTTTGAACATTTTTTACAAATTATATTCAGATTATAAGTAAAAATAATTGCAGCAGTGCAATTACATACGTCGTGATTTACACCGTACTTTATTTTATATTTATAATATTCATACACACATTTCTAAAATCCCATTATGTATCCCCTGGGATAAAATAAACCAAGTATAAAAGCTTTGAAACTGGTTTAGACAACACATCCAATATTCACAAACTTAATAAAAGTCTTTGTAAATAACATATAAGATTCGGAGAAGCGTGAAACTTAAGAAATAAGATTACAGGTTCTTCGAAACTCTAAAATGTATGTAAAAATGTAATGAAATCGACGCGGCCGTCGAGGGACATTGCCAGTGTGGCCTTGACCGTATAACCTTCAAGCTAGCTTCCTTTCATGTCTAGTGTAAATATATGCCTATAAAACTATCAACGCGAATTGAATTGATTTGCGTATCGAATCCAATAAATTTGTAACTTTATTAACTAAAGATTTACACAAGAAAACTTTAAGAATAGTTTTGCTTAGAAATGTAGATGCTTATTTTATAATTGTATTTTATAACCCTTTAGGCACCGATGTCATTCATCTGTGTAGTTAGTACTGCTGTATTCAGATTAAGTATAAAAATGTACACTAAGTGTAAAAGTCACGGAGGATAATTCTTTAATTCTAGAACATTTAAATTGGCAGATAATGAATTTTTGAATTGAATCGCTGCACCGTAACTAACTTTTTTTTAACCTTCTTTAGTTTCCATTGACTATTTTTAACATCTAAATCCAAACAAACCGTTGAAAATTGAAAAATCCGTCACGGGCTCAGTTCAACTGCAGGCAATTAAACATTGGAACGTTCAGTCCGTGCGAGAGTTGCGCAATGTTTGCTCCATGCAACTGTTACATTGTGTTTGAACGGATGAATATTTGAAAATGGATCAAATAAATATAAGAATAAAAATATCATATCCAAACCAAAGTGTAGAATAAAACTATCCAATAAAATCACAAATATCGATGGGGAAAACTCGTAATTTTAATTAAAATGAACTGACAAAGGCTTATTAACTTATTATGATTCGACATAAAGTAGAAAATAATATAAGAGAATAATATTAAATTTATTGTCAGAGATAGATCAGAAAAACCGCTGAAGTTATTTAAAAATTTTCTCTACTACTACTTTACCTTACTCTACTACTCGACTAAACACGTATTGGTACTAATTTCTTCGATCCTGTTTACACAAACCGTTTAATCATCATATTTCTACAACAGATAGGGTTGTGCTCCTTTCATTTTACATTTACGAGTATTACGTGAAAGTTTATCGTCTTGCATTTAAGTTTTACTGTATGTGGTTGCATCGGTTCCTGAGTGCTCCAGGTCAGGGCATGCATTCGAGTGCACATTGACGTCAGCTATGGACGTAGAACCGGTCGCCGACTTCGTTACGACTGTTTGGTTATATTGATTGATATCTTATGAAACTGGCTTCCTTTACTTGATCGCTCAAGTGATAAGCTTTAAGAAGTGGTTAAATTTACTATCTAAAATTTCAGTATTACATTACTTCATACCTACTTTTTTTATTGAATTATAAATAATAATAAAATAAACTAAAGCTTGGTTACTCTCCCACCTAATGTTAATTGGTGATGTGATTTTTTTTACAACATAAGGTGGCAAACGAGCAAGCGGCCACCTGAAACCGCCAATATGGCGAAGCGACCGCTGCCCATAGACATCCGCGATCGCAGATGCGTTGCCTACCGTTATTAGACGGAGGAGGAGACGCACATAAAGAGGATATTATCCCTTCCCATGCATCTCCTTCACCGTCAAATCCAATTACCCTTCCCATCCTCTCCTTATAAGAAAAGGGTGGTAAAGAGAAAGGGACTTAAATTAGGCTTCCAGCACCACACTCATCAGACGAAACATAGAATTGCTTCCATTTCACGCCTGTCTTCTGTGTTGTGGTATTACACCGGGCGTGCCGGCCCATTCGTGCTAAGATGTTAACGCGGGCACTACCACTGTCGAAGGATTGGTTTAAATTTTGGTATATTTTATCGAAGTACATAAAAAATCTATTCGTTACAAACAAATCTATGTCACACGCAGTCGTCAATATTTTCAAAGAGATGTTTACATACATCACAAATAATTCTGAAAAAAAAACTATTTAAACATAAAATCAACACACAGGAAATTATCAATATAAAGAAATCATTCATCACTGTACTATAATAAATACGAGTATAGTCAAAGACTTGCGGTAACCTCACATGAACCCATCAGACCGAGGTGATCGATCGTTTCAATATGGTATCATCAAAATAAACACGTTGCCCGATGTAGCGAGATGCTCAGGTGTGCTATAATTGTAAAATGTATTAAAGTGCAACTATACTAAAATACTTCGATAACATTTACGTAGAAAATAGCTTAGTTAGACACTTAAAGCTAACACAACTTTGACTAAACTGTCGCAACTGTTTAGTCTAGCTTTGATTCCTATGGGCTTATATGTAGGTGCGCACACTACTCGATTATTAGTTGTGCAACTAAACAGTTGAATTGGCTGCGAAACAATCGACAATCGTGCAATAGTTTAGTCAAAGGTGTGCGCCCGCTCTTAAAAGTAATAACATAACTAACGTCAATGTTTTTGTAGTTTAGATAGATACTCAGCGTCGATTAGTCTATAGGCGACTTTTAGCATAATTTTAGACATAACCTGCACTGAGGGACAGTTTAAGTAGCAATAAATCAACCCTGATTATGACAGACTTAATAAGCGACGATAAAAAGGACAAAACAGTCTAAACAGGACGTCGTGTTTTCCACCGCACGTCCGACACAAATCGTGTAACAACATGCTCCGTGTAACTGTAATTACGCAATATTTGCAAACAAGCATGAGTTAAAGCATCACAATAAATCTATTAATATCGGCGCAGTCATAAAGTGTTTGAGCTGGCAGCCATTAGTGAGGGAGATGGGTAATTAGGAGATCTTCCGGCAGCGGTTGCAAGAAACAGCTGATTTCATAGAACTCACGTAATTGAGGCTAAGCGCCGCTTAAACAGACTTGCCTACGTTCACAGAGTCATGGAACTGAGTTGTGTATGTTTTTATTTGTTTCTATGCAAACTTGGGCTTTTCGCTGTCATAAACATACAATGGAAACTTATTAATTGAATCGATAACGATAAGAACTTGAAATTGGATAAACAAGGTTAGTTATTAGTTCTGACCCGTATAGATATAGTAACTTCGGTATACATTAACTACGATTAATACGAGGAAATTATTGTATTAAGATTACAGTATAATTTCAAACACAGCAGTACTATATAGTCTATGCGTTCTTAGACGCATCAGAATTATTTAGAAAAAGTGTAGCCAAGCACAATTTATGTCGGGCGATAGACGCATTTAGACGGGCTTCCCCGAACTATGTTGCACAGCCGAAACACGGTGACGTGACTACGTGCTAAGTGGAAGATACAAGCGTGCCGTCTTCCTGAAACCCGCCCTCTCCCGACCGGCGGTACTATAAATATGATGCTGTAACACGTCCGCTTCAGTCGTTCAGGAGAGCTCAGTGTGAAAACAACGTGCTAAATCCAGAAAGCGATCCCGTGTGAACGTGCTTCGAGCGACGTACGCGCATTTCTCTGTTGACAACAGTAATCATTTCGTAATCTCGCGAATCAATCGCGTCTAGGACAGTAGTGCAACGTGTTTTGTGACAAACAATTTTGTGCTACAATATGTTGGACAAGTCAATTTTTGGCGGTAGTTGGGAGAGCGTGGTAAGTAACTAACTTAAAAGTTAAACTACTTTCAATTCTAAAATTAAGGGTTCGAATCTCAGTCGAATTTGTTTGCAACGAATCTAAAGTAGTTATTTTTTTTACAAATTTAGTTTATTGCTAGTAAAAATTATTAGAGATTTTTTATTTTAAGTTCCTACCTTTATCAACTTTTACTGTGGTAGTACTTTTCTTTTTATTTCGATAATAAAAAAGTTTACGTTCAAAATTCAAATTGAATTCCAAAGGCGTTCGAATAAAAAAAAACGTGTCCAACATTTCCCATTACGGCGTATAACCAAACATCTATTACGCAAAGCGGCGGTACATAAAAGGCATTTGACTAGAAACCGCTGCCATTGAACCTGAGCGCATTGAGGGCCGCTGGGTTATGGGCATGTTCTTTTTGTGTCGGCGGCTCTTGACATTGTCACATCTTTCACGGTTACCGCGCTATACCATAGATATAAATCATGCACCATAGTAACATTGATGGTTTGGATAAAATTCAATAGACAGATAACTTTATTTTATTTTATAAGCCATTTTAAAGTAACACAATCGGTAGACACATATTTACTATGTCTAGTAGAACATTTTTTATATAATAAGGTGGTAAACGAGCTCGCGGCAACCTGGATTCGCCAAACTGGCGAAGGGACCCCTGCCCATAGACTTTCGTAATAGCGAATGCGTTGCCTACCCTAAGAGACATGGAAGAAATCACAAGAGGATGTTGCCCCTTCTTATACGTCTCCTCCACCGTCAAATTCAGGTTCTTGTCCCATTCTTTTCTTATAAGAAAAAGGTGGGAAGGAAAAGAAACTAAAAACATAGTAAAAATCTTCATGCTTCGGGATAGAATATTGGGTTTATCTCTAAATCGTTGTTGTTATATTGGATCTTAGTAATCGTCATTACATTATATCCCCGTAAGACGCACGTAAACCTTATTATATATTTACATCTATCACCCTTGAACGCCAGTCTAAGCCTGTACAGTTTCATATCAATCAAACACATTGCTTCCTCATAACAAGTCTTAACATCCTAGTCAACCTTGTTTTAAAGTTAAACGCTTCGTAAATCTTTATAGCAATCATTCAGTTCCGAAATATAACCGCAGTAGTAAAACTAAAATAGATAATTGCATCACCGAGAAAAATCTATTTTAGACAAAACATTCAAAACCGCATTAAGAACTTTTGAATACATTTCTTATTATCATAATATATTTTAAATAATGTAATTTTACGTAAGAGGTGAAAACTCTATAAGAAGAGCCTACATAAGTGTCATTTTAACAAAGGTACTCAAACTAGAAAGTTTGTTTGAATGGCTCTTAAACATCTGACAATCTGCACTTATAGAACGATGAAATATCAAACACATGAAATTAGAAAGCTAACTAAACGAGTACCGTTTACACATGTATAAGAACATTATTGTTATCTCTGTTTTGTTCTAAATAGTTTGAGAGAGATGGCATCATACTTTACCAATAGTTGACGACGAAACATTGTTGTAGCTCTATAAAAAATTCGCAAACATCTTGTCACGTTTCGGCTACTTTCACTAACACTGGACGACAATCTTTTGTAACGTTCTCTAATCCGAGTCTAGTTATTCCGGTTTATGATTTGGAAAGTTAAAAACGTTCAGGCCTGATAAAGATTGATGGCAGGATGACATGGCTCGAGACTGCCGTGGACAGTATGATTTCATTTGAAACCGGTTAAATGTTTAAGTAAGCAACTTAAAAATATCTGGATTTTAAACGCGAGTATTTCTACATAGAAAAAGAAATAGGTAATGCATAAGTGACTTTAGTGTAGATTCTCTCTCCTGACACTTTTTACTTTGGCATCTTAGTTAAAAATTACCACTATAGATTTATTTTATAATAATTTATTAGTACTTTGTGAAAAAAATAGCAAGCAATAAGACGTAAAGAACAATCATTAAATACATTTGTCAGTCGACTTCAATCAGTGTAATAAATTTGCATTGCAAATTATTATCTGAAACTGTACCATTAGTATAACGACCCGAAAAAACCTAAGAATTATCAATAATGTCGCAATATAAAAACCGATGAACAAGACATTAGTCATAGTAAAATTGAGAAAAAACTGCGTAGGTGACAATTCATGATTATTCAGAAACATCAAAAAGGTTATTAACCCCTAAATGGGGGCTAAATGCAGCGTAAATCTAGAAATAGACAATTCGTACTTGAACCAATTGAAATAGTACACTCGTACGTCTAGTTGTAACTCTATAATATACTTTTGGCCTAGGTTTCTAATACGACTTATAAACAGACAAACATATTGCGCGGAGCGAAAATAGTTCACTGTAAACTAATGTTAATGTAATCATAAGACGATATTTATATAAAAGTAATAAATAAATTTTATGACAGTGTAAATAAAGCCTCTAACAGTGAAAACGTGATTTAATCCAGCGGTTTATATAAATAAAAATAAAAGACCTAGTTTACCACGACAATATAAATGATAAAGGCAAAAAAGAGTACGAATTTGACACAATATTGATAATATCACAAAAAAAACTTATCACTTTTTACACGAAAGTAATAAAACGTTTATTTGAATAATAGTAGTTTTAAACAGTTTGAAAGCGAAGTTTCACTTAGGGGAATCAGGTCGCAAATATTTTGTTTTCAGTTCCAACGCGGATAAAGTGCACGAGGTATTGAATCGACATTGAAATATTAATCTTGGATCTAAAAGTGTTTTTGATTTCACTTCATATGAATGAGATGGAATAATATTTACAAATCAATTTTCCAACACTATGATACTAATTTTGGATTATAAGTACAGTAGATTCTCGATAAGTTTAAGTCGAAGGGAAACACAAAACATTAGAAGTTATAGAGGTTTTAAGTTATCAAGGGTCTATATTGTAGAGGTTTTGGACTCTGATGGGAAAGGAACATATTATTTTTTGAAGTAAGAGGTTTTTAAGTTACCGAGGTTTGAGTTATCAAGGTTCTACTGTATATACATAAATATAATAGAAGCAGGCAATAGATAGATAGAGAGATATACATACAATAATTAATCTTCATATCTATAATAACATTATAAAGAGGAAAGATTTGTATTTTTGTATGTATTTAAATAGCTTGAAAACTACTGGGCTGATTTAAGAATTCTTACATCATTACACTACGTTATCAGTTAGTAACATAGGTTACGTTTTTACTATATTTTAATTTCACGCGGGCGATGTCGCGAGCAACTGCTAGTTTGATATAAACGGATAAAAACCACCATGTATGCTGAAATATTAACGTAGAAGAAAATTAGCTTAGGTGGAATCCTGGTCAAGCGCTGGTTTAATTATGTTAAAAAAAAATGGCAGATCCTAATAACAAATAATGCTAAATGAAAACCCATAATAATACACAGTAGGTATACAAATAAACAAATATCACACTTCATATTAATATAAAACTTAATTCCAATTAAACACTTTTAATAAAACCGATAAAATTGACAGTTATTTATAACTGCATTTACACCGTTTTATTTACAGTTACAATCGAAAGCAACAATGAACCATATGACACATACTAAACGAAATAAAAAACGTTCATCAACTCATTTGAAAATAACCGTAAGACTTCCCACAATGTTTTTGCTCGGTTTAACAGTGCAATAACATATGAGATGTAAAAAAGATAGATAAAAAATCGTAAAACCAATTAGATCACTTTATGTGCTATAAAACTGTAGCCACATAAGCTGGTAATGAGATAGCTATTATTCCCGTAAAAATAGTTATGCAATAAGAAACCTTATTGCTACTGAAAATGCTTTATTTGATCGTTTCACATTATTTATATTGAAGCCCTTAACACTATTACTCCCTATAATATTTATGCAAACATCATGGAGGTTAAAATTAAAAATAAATCACATATTATATTATTAGATGTTGCATTGAAACGCGACTATTGTTGAAAATAGCCCGCGACAAATTTAACTCGAACCTTTTAGCACCATCACCTTCAGTTCTATAATAACGTCCACAAATAAACATGAATATGCATTAACAAATGTTACAATACGTACTGAGACGAAAATCGGACGAAAGTTTAATGTGGATAAGACATGCAGCTCCGACTTATCATTACCTGAAACCAAAAAAACAAAAGGTTAATAATAATACATTTTACAAAAAGAAATGTGTTCTTAATATGTAATTTCTGTGCTAAATTTTGCGTAACTTACAATGTAATTGGACCATGTTAACTATATCTGCTGTAAGAAAAACTATTTCGACGTGACCCATTTTAAACGACACGACCTAAATTCGCAAAGTTGCATATGCTGTTTTTTTAAATATCCATTAAAAATAATGTTACAAAACTGTTGCTTGTCACAACAGACATTTGAAGAGTATTGTAGTGTCAAAAAGCGAGGACGCCTAGATTTCGGTAATAGCAATGCGTATCTTTTGTGTTCCAATTACCAACACTAAACAAATGGAAAGAAATAAGTCGACACATGAAAACTAACGAGAACAAATGGCATTTCTCCTTTATTATCACCGTATTCTAAAGAATTCGTAACAATAAAGTGTTTATTTTCAAGTGACCTATTCTACGCGGCCGTCTCAATAACATTGTTAAATTACGTGAAACTATAAAAATGTTACGGGATAACAATAAAGAACACAGATGTGAGTTAACTATTGAACTACAACACAAAATTTGGATGAAAAATTATGAGATGAGGAATTCCTTACAATCCCTGTCGTTTTAGAGACAGTAAAATGGTATGACCGAACTAGTTATTAAGAGTATAATTAACTTCCCTGACAGTTCACAGTCGAAAATTAATTAAACATCAAACTTAAGTATATCTGGCAAATGTTCCAATGACGTAAGACATATGTTTTATACAACAGGTGGTATCAGACATGTGGGCACCGCTCGAAGGGCTCCAATGACGTACCAAAGCGAGACAGATAATTATAACGTGATGATAGACAGAGACAATGCTAACCTAACCTACCTAAATACGTCAAAGTCACGCACATAGATAACGTTATTAACACTTGTAATCTGAACAATCTATCAACTGTCGGAATAAAAGCAATAGACAAGGATTTCTATCTATATCTGGTAGCCTTAATTCACTAATCGATTATTTATTTTGTTACAGGTGTCGAGAGATGACTACGAAATCGACTACAGCCCGAGTCCAAGAGGATCTCCATTGAAGGACACGTCCAACATTCAAGAGGAAAGTTCCTACTGCATCAGTCGTCATAATCCGAATAAGACTTTCCGTCGCGAATCAGTTATCGCTTCTTGGAAGAGTCTGAAGAAAGAGAGGGAGCAAGCTTTAGGCAAAAGGATCATTTATATCGACGCTGACAATTACGAAGACTACTACGGCAGGAACAAGGTTAAACGTTGCAAGAGCGACAGGAGTGCTAACATACCTCGCAACCGAAAGGTGAAGAGAACATACTCAGTCCTTTACAGATATGATCCTAACGAAGAAAAAGTGATCAAGGAATATAAATACCAAATACCTAGGGAATCAGATACACCGATCTACTCAGGCCTGCAGAAATCTTACTCGGAGCCATTCCTCAGGCCGGAAAGAATGCCTAAGAAGAAAGTGAAGAGGTCTTTCACCACACTTTTGAACATTAAAACCAAGTTTCTTAACATATTCTCGTCGAAAAGTTAAACAATAGTTGTATAAATTTTGGTTTAAGTTGCTCAATTAATTGCATTTCTTTAATTGTAGATAGTGCTCATTGGTGTATTGAAGACGTTTCGTCTTTAGTGATAAAAAGGCAAAGTATTATAAGGTATTGAAATGTTGTCTTAGAATTAATCATATCGAGAAAATTATTATCAAGATACTGTATCGGTACTACAGAACATTGACTTATCATGATCGCAACGTAATAGAACGACCTTAATTAGAGAATATCACAACACCTCTTTGAATATTGAGTATAAAATTATTCTATAAACAGATTATTCGTGCAACCGTGTTCTATAGGTGGGATCGTGGTCAAGCGCTGATTTAAAAAATCATAAAAAAACTTTTTGTTACATCGACGCAGTTGTACCGTTAGCAAAACAAGAAGCACGTGTACGTCACGTGAGGCTTGTGATTTCTAAACAAACATACGCGCAATCCGTTTGAACAAGTTTGAAAACATTGATTTGATAGCGGTAAGATTTGTAAAGTACCATTTTGTATTTAATTTAGTTTTACTATAAAGTTATTAATAATAATTATGATGTCATGTCAATATTATTATAACGTTTTTTGTTTGTGATGTTTTTATCTTAGTTTTTGATAGTAATGAAATAAATTAGATCCGCCAAAAGAAATTTAAATGTAGAACTTAATACCAAAAATTTAGTATTTAGTTGATTATTTTGTGATATTATTTATTTATACTTCGATGTCGTAAACAGGTTTTACCACATCCGAGGTTTTGTTCTCGAATGGAACATTCAAATTTTCAACTAAAGCAATACTCTGTACAGTAAATTCAATTGAAAGTAATTGATATTTTATTCCAAATAAACCATTTTATTCAGGAAAAACTCAGTAAGGATATAAATTGTAAACTAGAAAGAAAAAATATATAAACATCTATTTGTCTAGATTACAAACATCAAATATAAAATACATATGTACATTCTTTATATTATAAGTTATTTTTCACAAAATAAAAAAGTTGATATAATTCCTTACATTTTTTTTTAAATATAAACGAATTTATCAGTTCAACTACTTGTATTCATTCCTAAAGTGTAAGATTAATAGTCAATAAGTATTATTTTTAAAGATTAACATACAAATAGAATGTTTTTGTGTCTAGTGTTAGATATAATTTTATAAGGATTAAATAAAACAATTATAGGTTATATTTTATTTTTATTTCATGCCTTTTGTCGTAACGCTTATACAATAATAGTAATTCTCCTAATGAGAGACAAAACCGATAAATCAACATGTTTTATACAGATTAAGCAGTGGAAACTCATTGATATATTTAAAAACAAAACAACATAGAAACTAACAATAATTAAAATCACTTATGATATGAAACACAATTTAAGTTGTGATAGAAGATTATAGAAACAGAATCAAAATAAAGATTAGTTTAAAAAGATTTAAAAAAATCCTCCATACACTAATGTAACATTGTAGATCCCACGGCATTCTAACCCGCACTGGGAAGGTCATACCTCCAGGGAAATCTTATATTGTGCGGTGAAATTGACTGGTACGATATAACTGGCCAATAATGCGGCCCACTTTACGTCTGCGAGGCATCAAACATGATTTTCTCTTCAAACAACATAGCTAATGCTATGACATTCATGTGCAAAAAAATACAGTTTCAATACCATCGACTTTAAGTTACTTTAGTACATATAAATAAGCAGCATTGAATGTGTTGGCATACGGGCGTTGATCATCTCTGTGTTCCCGACGTTAGTTATAAAAAAACACAAGAACATCGAATCGAGATGTCATGAAATTCACATTACTATTTATATATTTAATAATTATTGTTCCAAATCAAAGTATATTTTAACCATTAAGATGCAGTACATTTAACACTAACACAAATCCAAGATAGATTTCAGGAAAAGCACTTTATCGCGTAATTTATAATTTAAAAAATAAGGTAATGTCACAATGATGACTATTCCATTAAAAAGACGAAAAAGATGTTCACTTAAAATTAGGGCTAAATTAAATTAAATATGATATTCTGAAGATTTAATTAAATTTAATTTTAGCATAGAGATGGATGGATTGCATGAAAGGTGACATGATAAAGAAGGGAGTGATGACTGAGATGACGGATGATAGAGTTTTTTGGAGCGAAAACCCGGTGCGCCGACCCTAGGAGAGTAGGATAAGTCAGGGGAGATGATGATGATGATGATGATATTCTGCATATTATTCGATGTTATGTCATAATCTAAGAATAAAATGTTTACTTTCAATGTTTATTTGAACCGACATACAGAATACATTTAAATAATCTCGTTAGTCAAATATAAATACGATAAAAGGAAACAATTTTAATAAGGAAGTGGTAGAAGCTAAAGTTAACATCAAAACGTATATTTACAAAGTAATTTATTTCCGTCTAAAAGTTTATGTGGTCGTTATTTCTGGAATCATTATAAATTGTTTGTTTTAATACAAACCAATGATGGAGAATTGAAATAATTTTGTTATGTATTAGTGGATATTTTTACTTCAAGTCATATGAAATTTTCATACTCTTGAATTCGTATCAGTCCATTAAATCATAATTTTGGAAAGAATGCTGTAGCTACAATTATTTTGCACGGATTAGATTCTATTCCCTCACAAAATAGATACCCAATAAATTGTATATAACTAGAAAATAATATTGATGAAATCAGTATGTAACATTACTATTCAAGCGTATAAAGTCAAACTATACATAATAGTTAATTGCCCAAATGTAGTGTACATTTGGCGGTCGGTGCCTGGTGCGGGCGAGTCGTGGGACCCGAGTTTAGGGGATGAGGGTAGCAAATTTCAGCTGTCGAGCACCCCTTACCAAACCGAGTTACGTGACCGCTTAATTTTGCGTCTGATGTAGGTACCTACGATTACACACCCCCGGTAACTCTACAAAGGGCTAAATTGTTATCGATTTAGCTATAAGACGAAAACTTCAATTTGAACCATTAAAGTGTTTAATATTGATTATTTAAATGGCCTTTATTAAAATGATATTTAATGGTTATAACAAAAAGTTTATGAAAAAAGAACAATTTTCAGGACATTATAAATTATACCAGTGGCGCCATCTCGTGAAAGACAAGCGAACTATTAGCTCTGAAATCGATGAAAACTTGCCAAATTTCCAGCATCCGCTACAAGAGGGAACTGCTGTAAATCGTTACACATCCCGCCTATTTTTAACACCACTGTTTATTCGATTATATCAATGAATGAGTGCTACGAAAATGAATCTTACTACTTTGTGATAAGACACAAAATAGTCTGCGATAATGTATGAATATGAGATTTCATACATTTTTTAAATAAAATGTATGATGAAAGAAGTAATGATAATTATTAATAATCCGCTTTGATGATAAATATATAGACGAGATGAAAGGTCGCTTTTGCAACCAATACGGATGTAAATTGCTGTATTTAATTCGATACGATAAAATCAAAGCAGATCGATGTATTGTTTGGAACGTGATTAAAGAATCGAATGGATTACGAAAACGACACACATTTAATATACAAAGATTTCTTTTTAATCTATAGCTTCTAGTTGAATTTAACTAGAGCTTCATTGGGCAATGTTTGGATATAAAGAGCGGGCGCACACTTTTGACTAAACTATAGCACAACTGTTGTACGATTGTCCATTGTTTCGCGGCCAATTCAACTATTTAGTTGCACAACTAAAAATCAAGTAGCGTGCGCACCTCCATATAAGCTCATAGGAATTAAAGCGAGACGGAACAGTTGTACGACAGTTTAGTCAAAGGTGTGCGCGCTGTAAATATTATCATTATGTCAACTCAACTCTTTCACGAAAACACGAAACCATTTCACAATATAAACATTATACAATTTAATATCCAAAAATGAAACATAAAGGCGCATCCAAACCAGCGGGCGACTGCACAAATCGACTGCATTTGTTTGTCTGATGCGTATCTAATCCGATACCACCACACTGAGATATCAGATACGTAATATCGGATGACAGTAACAGAATTACGTATTCGTCTGTGTCACTTTCAAGTTTCGGACAATCTGTCATTATTGTAACCAAGATTGTTGCGTTTCAATGCTGTTAATCCTAAATGTAAATATGTAAAGCGAATCTATTGAATAAGTTGCTTTTAAAAGCTTTGTTACATTCAGATCTTTAGAATCGGTGTACAAAACTGTTTTTTGCAGCAATAAAAGACTACGTTACGCCGTAACTTTTAGCATTAAAAGAAATTATAAAACTTAAATTTACGCAATCTACAGCAAGATTAAAACAGCATCTACATAGGCTTTTACTATCAAAATCCACGTATCAATTTGGTTTATTTTCTCACAAAGAATAATAGATGACGAGATATTGTAGACGTATATCGACAGTGTAGACCCACGTTAAACAGTTGCGAATATTAAGACAAACGTTACACAACAAAGCATTGAGAGTATTTCGTTCATTTTAATTAGTCGCCTAATCGCCACAACAATAGGTAAAGGTCACAGTGTAACCTCGCAGTTTGAATTGACACAGTTACACGAAAACGCCTTGGCTTGGATTTGTGATGCAGTTATCTAGACATTCACCGTGGACGCGGAAATAATAGATTTGGCTGTTAAAGCAGTAACAGTTGATTACGCTACCGCATAACCATTTAAAAGTAACCAATGTAATTTAAATGTAAATACACCGTATAAAGATGCAATTTTACTAAATATTGCAAAAAAATCACTATAAACTGGGTTTACGACTATTATTACTAAATAACAAGTCGTAGATAAATGTCAGTCATTATAAAAAAAAACACAAGAAACACAATGCTCAAAAAATAAAAACAAATATTGATAGATATTATAATTCAAAACAAATTCTTGAAATTTACGAGTATACAAGATGCCATAACTGGAAGAAACGATACTATCTCCCTAATGGAAATAGAAACGGAAACAAGACAAATAGAATGCATTAGGAAACCGGCCGCGAACACTGCATTTATACAGACCGTAAAATTAAACGTTTTCCATTTAAGTGATCGCTCAGACCCGCCTAGTGTGGAACGAGCGTAAAAGCTTCACGTTACCATCTCCGCTATAAAACGATATATGAAATAGAATACACTAAATCAATATTCGATCTCTAATCACTTTTGCTTATCCGAGGATTTTAATTAACTTTATAATCAATCTTGGTTCGTATTTTACCGATCTAAGTATTGCAATAGCAATCGGAAAACAAAATCTATCGTTTAGAATATTTTTTGTTCCTCATTTCAAACAGGGATTTTTTTTATTTTTCGG